AACCGCTACTTCCGATCACCACATATCATACCATAACACAAAAGATCATTTATAAAACATCATACTCAATGTAGCATTGAACCAAAATTGACAACTTGTACTAACAATTTATTTAAAGCTTTCAAATGACCTCATATCATGTTAGTAAGTAACGTGCATTAACTGAGGATTCTTAAAGGACCAATATAAGCACTCAGACCACTTCAGCTTAATGAGGTGGTCTGGGTGCCAGGTCCAGCTAGGTTTAACCCTTTTTTCTATAACCATAGCAGTTTCAGAGAGACTGCTATGTTTATAATAGGGTTAATCCAGCCTCTAGTGGCTGTCTCACTGACAGCCGCTAGAGGGCTTCCGCGCTTCTCACTGTGATTTTCACAGTGAGAAGACGCCAGCGTCAGTAGGAAAGCATTGTGAATGCTTTCCTATGGACTGGCTGAATGCGCGCGGCTCCTGCCGCGCATGCGCATTCAGCCAAAGATGAGGAGAGGAGGCGGAGAGGAGAGCCCCCCGCCCGGTGCTGGAGAAAGAGGTAACTTTAACCCCTTCCACCCCTAGAGCCCGGCAGGAGGGGGACCCTGAGGGTGGGGGCACCCTCAGGGCACTATAATGCCAGGAAAATGAGTATGTTTTCCTGGCACTCTAGTGGTCCTTTAATAACCTAGCATTATATGTGTGCCCTGCTCTGATATCTATATGTAGCCGTGTTAATACACACTCAAGTGGCCATTGGAGTAATACTTATACCCTCCAGTTATTTAAATATACATTGGGATTTGGGATAGTCCACAAGTAACTCTTTTCTTCGGTTTTCATTGTATGCATTGGGGACGATGTGTGCTATTGTTATTGCCGCCGCCCAGGAGTAGTGGGATTTTGAGTGCAAGGCTTATTATTGTATGTTTGTATTTGTTTTTGTATTACACAGCCATGTTACAATGTTGCCGCCCACCTCATGTGTTCCCTATTAAGGGTTAAGAAATCTGTAGGGGTTTAAAAATAACCCTCTCTGTCTCATTAGAGATTTTTGTTACCTGTAGCTGAAGGAAGCAAGGTGAATTGTTAGTGTAGGACTCATCTAAGAGGATTGCTTTGATGTGGCAGGTGAGCTTACACTCACGCGGCCATTGGAGTGATACTAAAAACGTCCAGTTATTTAAATATGCATAGGGATCTGGGATAGTGCGCAAGTTACTATTCTCGTTTTTTTCTCTTTGGGCTGATATGTACTGTAGTTGTTGCTGCCGCCCAGGAGTAGTGGGCGGCAGTAGTGGGAATTTAACCACAGGACTTATTTTTGTTTATTTGTAATACAGATCTCATTTAAATTTTGTCTAGCATGATGACAATGTAAAAGGAGAACGGTGAATTTACATCAAATTAAAGATATGCTATAGTCACCAAAACAACTTTAGCTTAACAAAGCAGTTTTGGTATATAGATCATGCCCCTGAAGTCTCACTGCTCAGTTCACTGCCATTTATGAGTTCAATCAGTTTTTTTTATGCAGCCTTAGTCACACCTCCCTGCATGTGACTTGCACAACCTGTAAACCTGTAAACAGTTCCTGTAAAGAGTCATCTAATGTTTATACTTTTACCTTTATACCTTTATTTCACACTCTGTTTAATTTAGAATGTCTTATCGCTTGCACTGAAAGTAGCTTCATAGACCTTGCAAGAGCTCCTGTATGTACTTAAAGTCTAATTTTCAGTGCAGGAGATAAATATGATTGAATTTTTTGTTTTCATGCATGCTATGTGAGTCACAGTCAGGAGAATTGTGGTTAGGGCTGCATAAACATAAAACAAAAGTTATGTAACTCCTAAATGGCGGTGAACTGAGCAGTGAGACTTCAGAGGCATGATCCATACACAAAAACTGCTTCATTAAACAAAAGTAATTGTGGTGATTGTAGTGTTCCTTTAATGGAGTGATGAACCTTTAATTTATATTGTTACAATTTATTTCAATGTTTATGTAAGCGAATTACTTGTGTTGAAGTATAATTGCCCAAATCAGAGCTCTGCCAAAAACTGTAGGCAGCTCACTTAGGAATTGTAACTTTTGGGATCACATCTAAGAGCAGCTCAATAAATAGACAATCTGTTTGGTCTTGCTCTCTGATTTAGGCAGTTATATTTCACAACAAGTAAAAAAATGACAACTGAAAATAGAAAATTGCAGAAATAAGTGCAGAAAAAGGTAAATTGCTTCTAACAGTCAGTCTTGTTCAGAAAATTGTTATCTAGCTGATAAATCCGACCCACAGAGCAGCCAGATGCTGCTGTAAGTGGGCTGGATTGCAGGAAGAAGAGAAAGTATCTTCACCAATTTTTCAGTTCACGTTACTAAAGAAATAAATGAGTTTATCTAAAAACACAGATTGTGATCTCTTTGAAAACTGTCTCTTGAATTCTAGTCGAAAGTAATAAAAATTTATCAATTGTGTACTGACACTGAATTGTAATATCTCCTTGCTGTTTGAAGGAGCAAAAATATAATTTCGTAAAAAAGTAAAAAATTTATTGAAACAGAAATTTTCCTAAATGTTTTTTTTTCCCATTAATGTTGCATTTCAGTTGCTTTTTATTGTTGGTTTCACATGCAGTTAGAATTCAGAAAAATAGATTCATGCACTGCAAATTCACTAACCTTGTATTCAAATCACACAGTGCTGTCATCATGGGCAATGCCAGCATGTGAAAATACACCTTGGCACATTAGAGTAATGTTACAACAGACTCATGAGTCTATAAACGTAATAAATGATCTAACCTACGTAAAGAAATGTGAAGGCCACCATTTTGCTTGGAAGTCACTTGATCCTTAAACAGTTTCATGACTGTACACCAAAAATCTGCACATACAGACAGTGTGTGCCCTAATAAACATAAAATAATGTTTAAAAATGATACAGCATACACCCCACACTTCACTCCGACCCCCGTGATGTCATATTTGTGAATTATACTACGCTGATCTAAATTAGTGGAGACGAGGAAAGTTGCCTATGCAACCAAGCTGGCTATATCCTGATTGTGTGTACTTCAACAGAGGAAAAACAACTATAAGTCATGAGAGTGGATTGCACAGAAATTAAAGGGTCACTATAGTCACCAGGACAACTGTAGCTTAATGCAGTGATTGTGATGTCTATATTCAGTCCCTGCAGGTATTTTAATGTAAACACTGCATTTTCAGAGACAATTACTTACTTCCTAGTAACACCTCCAGTGGCAGTCACTCAGGCGACCACTAGAGGTGCTTCCTGTGTCAGTGCTATACAATGTGCATTCAGCTCCCCCTAGCCCTGCATGGAGGTGCTGAACATTTCTCATAGAGATGAGGACTTTTCATGTGAGAAAGCATTGTATAGGCTGAGTGTCAATTTTGATGATCTTAGCCAAGGAGGCGGAAAGGGGGTGTAGCCAACAACGATGTACCAGTGCCGTGCTGGAATAAAGTGTCTTTTACTTTAGTTACAGGGGGGGCAGGGCCTAAATAATGTTTTTACAGCTTTAGTGACAGGAATACATCTTTGTATTCCTGTCACTATAGTGTTCCTTTACGCACTAGAAGGATTTTCTTTGTAAGAAAGGGCTATAAATATAAAACCTATTCTCTATATGTTCTATTTTTATATGTAGTAGCAACTGACATTTAATGTGAATAAGTGCAAGATAATGCATCTTGGACGTAAAAACCCAAGGGCAGAGTACAGAATATTTGATAGAGTCCTAACCTCAACATCTGAGGAAAGGGATTTAGGGGTGATTATTTCTGATGACTTAAAGGTAGGCAGACAGTGTAATAGAGCAGCAGGGAATGCTAGCAGAATGCTTGGTTGTATAGGGAGAGGTATTAGCAGTAGAAAGAGGGAAGTGCTCATGCCATTGTACAGAACACTGGTGAGACCTCACTTGGAGTATTGTATGCAGTACTGGAGGCCGTATCTCCAGAAGGATATTGATACTTTAGAGAGAGTTCAGAGAAGGGCTACTAAACTGGTTCATGGATTGCAGGATAAAACTTACAAGGAAAGATTAAAGGAATTTAACATGTATAGCTTGAAGGAAAGACGAGACAGCGTGGGATATGATATAAACATTTCAATACATAAAGGGAATCAACACAGTAAAGGAGTAGACTATATTTAAAAGAAGAAAAACTACCACAACAAGAGGACATAGTCTTAAATTATAGGGACAAAGGTTTAAAAATAATATCAGGAAGTATTACTTTATGAGAGGGTAGTGGCTGCATGGAATAGCCTTCCAGCTGAAGTGGTAGAGGTTAACACAGTGAGGGAGTTTAAGCATGCGTGGGATAGGCATAAGGCTATCCTAACTATTGTATACAATATTTTGTGTTTTCATTTAATCCATAATGTATTCATGTTGATTCCCTACCACACACACAAACACTTACACTCACACATATACTAACATAGTTATTTACGAAAGTTAGTGTTATCCGGAATGCAAAGGGAATTTAAAGATTATAACATGTTTTAGACCAAATTAGCTGAACTGGTAGTATACCTGATTTTCCAATTTAATCTATTTTGACCTTAATTTGTAAATTGACATCACTTCTGACATTCGTTTATAACTCAGTAAATATTTAACTCACGGTGGAGAGATTATTGTGATTATTGTTTTTTCAAGAGGTAATACAAGCTACAGCCCAGGACATGTATTTAAACAAGACATGGCTAATACACATTCTTCTTCCTTAATATATTATATTGTATGTACTATTAATGTGTTGTTGTTTTTTTGTTTGCTTGTTTGGTGTTTTTTTTTAATTTCGTTTCTGTTTTAGTTTGGCCGCAACCTTCCACCAGTCATACATAAACGATTAAATTAAAAAAGAAAAGTGTTTTCCAGACAATCCATGACTGAGCATGGCTGGACCAGCCAGCTAGGGAGGAGTTACAGCTCACATGGCTACCCAGGACAGAGGATGTAGTAGTCCCAAACCTTTCATTTCTGCAGTATCTTCACCAGTCAGCCTGAAACTGGATTTTCAACCATGAAAACAGCTCCCTCTTGCTATGAAAAACTGGAATAGAACTCTTGCTATCTGATAGGGGGCTTTGTGAGTTTTTCACTGGAAAGAAAAAATGAATTAACAATCATCAATTAAACAACCATGTAATTAAAAAAAAAACACAGACCATCCAGCAAGACTGAAGATTCTATCCTAGATCCTCATTCACAGGGCAGGACAGACTGCATTGATAAAGGCTGCTACCTGATCTGGCTTGAAAAGAGCAGAGTGCAATTGTATGCACATTTGACTGAGTGCTTGGTACCACATTTGCTGGAACTAGTCTTGTGTCTCAATCAGGACTGCATCAGTGATGTGACCTGTCTCTGAAAGCAACACTCTGGGTCCACTTCTCATTCTACCAACATTGTTGCACCTATATTGTTCCAGGTGAGTTTAATTTCCTTTTTTTTTTTGCTTTTACATATTACTTGTTTTTAGCAACAGGATGGCAAACAGCTAGATCCCCAGCTCTTATAGGACTACAACTCCCATGGTGCACTATTTTTGCACAGTCCCTATTCTAGAGATTGATGAAGACATTGTATATTCTTAGATATTTAGAAATCTGCAGTTTATGGGAGCTGTCCTTTCAGCACCACACACCAGTATCTCTTGGCTGTTTAATATTTGCCTTCACTTGCTGCAGACATGTGATTAGCTGTGAGTGTGTAACCATTAAACAGAAGTATCACTATGCAGACAGAATCATTAAAGCTTCTAAGGAGTTATCATTTAACACTGGGAGACAAAGCTACAGGCTCAATGCGAGACATAGATGTGAGTTTGTTATTACATAAAAATAAATGTGCACCAACATACAGCAGCCTTTTTTAAAGTTACAATGTAGATAAAAAATTTAGGTTTTATTAAGGATGAATGATTGCATACACTTCTACAAAATCTAGTTTAAAACCAAAAATATATCTACTGAAAACCTCTTTTTGTATTTGCACATTGGACACCTGCTTAGATATATGTAGGTGTAATTTATGTATGTATATGGGTGTATACATTATTAGAAACATAGTACATGTAATATATCTACAAAGCTTATATGAAATGATTCTGTTCACTGCAGGGCTGTAAAATATAATTTGTACTGAGCACGCTTCAAACAGCAGGTATTACAGTCTAGATACGTGGGATTCTTCCAAACTCTGTTTAACCCCTTAAGGACCAAACTTCTGGAATAAAAGGGAATCATGACATGTCACACATGTCATGTGTCCTTAAGGGGTTAAGACATTATCAGAGGCTGAGCGTTGCCATGTTATGATTCTGCGACTGTGTTTAGAGAGAATCTCAGACACTTCATCATATAATGGGAAATCTGACATCAACACAGAAAACCAGACTCTTAACCCTTTGATTTTCTCATTTGCCTGGCACAAAGGGTTAAATATGCTATTCGGTGAAATTGCTGGAGGTTTCAATATTAAAAGATGTTCTTAAATTCAGGTTGTGACCAGAACATAGAATAAATATTTTAAAAATTGAAAGTTAAATCTTGTTTCTGTTTGTTTGGGAGGTTTTTATTTGGGGGACGGAGGGCTGTCTTTGTTTTTCTTTAAACATTTTATATTTGTCAGTTGTATTGTTTTTTTTTTTTTAACCCATTTAACACTTAAAAGCTTTTTTACAATTTTTTTTTATTGATTTCTTTTTTTCTGTTAAACTGTTAGTGCTAGTTTTATTTTGTTGTCGATATTTTTTTGTTTGTTTGTTTTTGCTTCTGTCTTTACTAACGTGGATCCAAGGCAACAGCTTACAAGAGTTAGTGATAAAATAAAGCAATTTTCTATATTGATGTTTGGTGATTTGTTTCGAGCCATTTGCGTTGGTGCAATGATGCACTCTGTTAGCGTTTAGATAAATCAGACGTATACTAAATTATGTATTAGTCACAGCGAACAAAATATGTCCAAAGGCGTCTTGTGACATAGGAAGTACAAAAAAATCTAGCTTTGGTAATTTGTCAATGTCACTACTCTCTTGTTATGATGCGCTGTGATTAATTTGCCTAATTTGAGGTTAATATTTCAAATGTGCACGGCATTATTCTAACTATCATATGAGCTGCTTCAAATTGAAGGTGACTCAAACCACTTGTGTATGCCCTCTAGTCTCTAGTCTAGTCTAATAATAGAAAAAATTATTTTTAAAAAGTTAAATAATAAAAAAAAGAGTTAGCATTTTAGTTCTTTGGGTTGCCAGTTTTCACCTTTAAGGCGTTATTTTTTTTTACCATAGCAATGAGCGCATTGAATGGTATATAGAGAATGAATAAAAAATAATGGGGAAAACGACTGTAAACACATGACAGTTTGAGATATTAGTAAAAAAACTCCATTGTTATTGCAGAAGTACATCCCTTCCACAGTTGGAACTCTAATATTAGGAGTCCGCCATTCGCATTAGTGAATAACCGTCATTGCCTGCATCCAGTGCATTGAAACATTGTTTAATATTAACAGTAACATTTTTGGAACAACTCGAGGTCAAAATGCAAAATATGCACCTTGTGACTCAAAATAATTTATATGCTAATTGGTTCCCATTAAGCACTTTCGCCAATAATTGCTTCTATTTGACTTCCCAACATAGGCCAATTTCATCATGTATTACTGCAGAAAATAACTGTCAGTGGTTTAGCACAGGGTGGTTTTCTGGGGTACATAACCTAACCTAGACTGGGACATCCTAAAATGACAGTATACTATACACTAGAAGAGATCAGTAGCCCTGAAGATTATGAGAATGTTATAAAAAAAAAAGTTCCAGTAAAATGTTTATTTAAAGCAAAATGGACCCATTTAAATTAAAATGGACCCACCTAGCACAAAAAGTACAGACCACAAGCCATTCTTTGGTTGGTTATACAAATTTGATCTATAGATTGTGCTGATGAAACCACTAGCAAGTGTATAAATTAAAATATATACTCATCTGAAGCTTGCCTCTGTCTCTTTAATCCCCTTCACGACCAAGCAACTTTTGTTTAAAAAAAAACAAAGAAATTGCATGTTAATCAATAGCACCCTGCAGCTGAGCTCATTGCTGGATTTGAGTACTCATTTGTATTCCTAGCACTGTACTGTTTCTTTAATGTAGTACCATGTCATTTTTTGTATGATGATGCACTTTAAGATACAGTTTTCTTTAAGGAACCCTGCTTGTGAATATAAAATTCTAACATTCTCATTATGAGCTAAAATGTCTTGATTCAAATGATCACTCGATGAATTATAACCACTACAGTTTATTAAAGTGGTAATGGTGCAAGAATTATTTGTGTGCTGTCTGTCTGTCAAAACATTTTCACTCACTTTGACAGAAAAAAAAAATGTCTCTAAAAAGCCCAGACTAAATCCTTAGTTAACGCAGAAGAATCATTTTTGCATTTTTTTATACAGACTGCTAGCTCTTGGGACAAGTTAGCCCAGCATTTGGGATGTGTCAATGCCATCCAATGTCAGAAGGCTTAGGGTGGAAAATTCAAAAATATCTGTATTATCTGAGCAGCAGGTCTAGGTTTTGGGTGCTGGGAGAGCACAGGTTTTTGTCAAAGACACAAAAATAGTTTGACAAAAATGGGATGGTATCCGAAGACTCCTTGCACCATAACTACTACAAAACCTGTCGTAGCTATGATGCTTAGAGTGTTCCTTAAAATAGTAATAGTGAGTTGACAGCCAGGTGGCAAAATATAAACAAAAATTGCCAAGTTGGAAAACAAAAATCCCAAATCTGTTGACTAAGACAATTTACCAAGTTGAGCTATTTTGGTGTAAAATTTCCAAGTCAGTGGTCAAATAGCCGCAACTCAATATTTAGTGAAAACACCATTAACTAAAACTAATTTATTATTGTTGCAAGAGAGAGATTGATCAATAATCCATTGAAACGGATTACTCACTGGCCTTGGTTCCCCATGGCTGGCAAGTAATCAATGGTCTGCTGTATTCCTGGTTAAAAAGAATCACACACATCATTTTATAGCTTGTAGGGAGACATCAGTAATTTTATTCTGGAGTTTCGGGGATGGTGGCAGAGTGCAAATTTAGGGAAACTTTATAAGCAGAGTAAAGTATAAAAAATAATGTACAGTTTTTGTGTTTGTTTTTTGAACATTTTATTTCATAATGAGAAGATATTTAAAAATGTTTGCCTGGTTTGAGAACACGGCACCACCACTGTAGCAGATGGGTTGAATAGCTGCATAGGGAACATGTTTGGGAGTTTAAACCCAGTGATGGATGTAAAGGGGTACTCCATGTTTGTGATGCATTATATAGAGTAGCAATTCTTAACCTTTTTTTGACCTGGACCCCAATTACATTCACAAGTATTTTTACAATCCATTCTTTCATTTTATAAAGACACTAAAGGCACTCACACCATTTAGTTTTTAATAGAGTGGTTTGGGTGCAGTGGTCCATTGATTTTTACCCTGCAATGTAAAACATTGCCATTTTGTAGAAACTTCAATTTTTCTACTTCTGGTTTAAACACACCTCTAGTGGTGTCTTCCAGACAGACACTAGAGGTGCTTTCTCTGTGTGAATCAGACTTCTGCTTCTGGAGAACATTTAATTGGTGCAGTGTAGCGATTTGCTGTGCAAGCACACTACCCTCCCATTGGCAGGGGAACAAAAAGTGGTCCTTTGTGTTCTGTTCCATTACAGACATGACTATAATAACATCACAACTTTTTATCTAAAACTCTGGCCGTGTAAGGACACATATGAAAACCCATGACCATCAATTCTCTCATTATAGAACCACACTCCATACTTCTCATGATACAGAGAAGCAAGTAACCATGTGTTCTTTTTAACCCATTAGACATCCATACCTAATATGAATATAAATAGGAATATAGAATAAGTAATACATGTAGGGGTATGGAGGCATATAAAATTTTTATAGAGTGGATTTTGCAATCCACCGCACTTAGAAAAAGTTATGCACAGAGAGAAGGGGTAGAGTATGATCTCCTTACACCATAACCTCCGCGAGGAATATTGCAAATCGTTGCTTTGAGTTTCCCTTTAAGATGTGACTGGCTAAAGCTGTAGAGTATACATTTAATAGCTGGTTTGAAAATGAGCAAACCAGATGGGCTAATTGGTTCTCGTCTTTATTCACAGTCTACGTCTCAATCGCCACATCCAACTTTGTCACACCAATAATTTCCATATCAATGCTCAAATTCCTGAGTTTATTATCATGAATCTTCATGACAGCAGTTCAACGCAAATCTGCCAGGAAAAATAGTTATATGGAGAATATGCATATGTTCGTAATTTTTAATAATCTTAATATTAGCATCACTTTTTAGCAGATCATTATTGGAAAATTTCCTATTGAATAGCTGGAATACCGAGAGAAAATATCACATATCACCACGTAAATACATTATGATGTTTAAAAATCTATGAAAAAAAACCATATCATAATTAGAGATGTCGCGAACCGTCCGCGAACTTCTCATGAACGGTTCGCCACGGTTCGCCACAAGCTGTTCGCGGCGAACTCCGGTCAGCTGACACGTCCCGGCCAATCTCCAGCAGACCCTCCCTCCCAGACCCTCCTACTTCCTGGACAGCATCCATGTTGAAACATGTCAGCTGACCGGAGTTTGCCGCGAACAGCTCGTGGCGAACCGTGGCGAACCGTTTGCGAGAAGTTCGCGGACGGTTCGCGACATCTCTAATCATAATCATGTAGTCTTGTTTATACTGGAATCCCTTTGCACCTACAAGAACCAGCATATATATATATATGTATATATCATGTTTTCATTATTGTAAGGGTAAAAATCGAATCATCTAATCTGTATTTATTGCATTTTCTCTTCCAGATTGTCCGCTTCTCACTTGCAACATGCAAACACAACACACAGCGACTGAACAGAGAAAATTTGCAAAAGGCAATGCCAAGATCTCCCAGTTAAATCTGGAACTAAAATTATCATCATTCTGCCCACCGCCTTAAGGAAGCTATGAATTCCTCAGCTCAGATTCCTGACACTAACTATTCCCTTCCAGAACTCATCAACTCGAAGAGCAATCTCTCCACACACATATACGAAAATGACAGCCAGAAGCTGAACGTTGAAGAACTTGAAAAAATACTCTTTCTGTTTGTCAAAGAACCTATTACAATAAGCCTGACTGCCATGTATATTCTATCGTTTGTGGTGGGAATTATTGGCAACATAATGTCTATTAAAGTACTGACTGGAAAGCGGACCGGTAAGACGTCTAGTTTAAGCGCCACCCGAAGTTTACTTATCAATCTGGCCATATGTGACCTTATGGTGGTTTGTGTCTGCATGCCCATAACAGTGGGGAATTTAATCTACAAAGCTTGGGTGTACGGGGATTTTCTTTGCAGGGCAGTGCCTTATATCCAAGCTGTTTCTGTTTCCGCAAGCGTACTCAGCCTTACGGTCATAAGCGTGAACCGTTACTACAGCGTGCACAACCCACTAAATGCTAGGTCTTTTTTTACCCAGAAGAAAATATTGTGCACCATTGTTGTGGTGTGGGTATTTTCTTCAAGTATCTGCATGCCTCTGATATTTATGAATAAAAGAGATGAGATTGAGATTGTTCCCGGTCTGCCATTAGTATCCCCTATCTGTAGAGAGGTGTGGCCTCATGTGATTTTTAAGCAAGCTTATAACTTCCTCCTGTTCTGCTCTCTGTATTGTCTGCCGGTTCTCTTCAACATGGTCATCTGCTTCTTGACCATACGCAAGTTATGGAGTTCTGGGAATAATTTTAAAGAGTGTGACTTCAGAAACCAGAGTTTGCCAGTGTCCAGACTGAAAATTAGAAAGAAGATTGCAAAAATGGTGGTGGCTTTGGTTTCCCTGTTTGCCGTTTCCTGGCTTCCTGTGTACATGTTGGATATTTGGATTGATTTTAACATCCCTCAATCTTCTCAAGATGTTGCTCCATCACCATGGATTCTCCAGTTGAGACCCTTCGCTCAATGGCTTGGTCTCACCAACTCCAGTCTCAATCCAATATGTTATTGCTTTGTTGGTGATCTCTACAGGTCAGCCAAACAAATGAAGACCATGTATCAAAATAGAATGGTTTCCATGTTTAGTTTCTCGTTCTCGGACAGTTCTCCACACTCAATCCCAAAACTTCTTTCCTACAAGAACTCGATGCATTCAATGAAAGGATCGAAAAAAAATAACTTCCCTTTGGCAATGGAGGACAAATGCGAAAACTGCTATTCCGCAACAAGAGTGTTTTCAACCACAGACCCAGAGAGCCATCTCTCATCATGAAATATCTTGTCATTAAACCTGACACCCTGTGAATATAGAACATTCAATCTAGTTTGTACTCGTAAACTGTGAAACAAATGCAACCAATGAATGTATAAATTGGATTATAGATTTATGAACTAAACAGTGACATTATTTGGCTTGTTTAACAGATGCTTTGAATATTGTATTTCTATAACACTGGGTTCTTATCTGCCTCAGCTGTATGAAAGGAAATGCATTGTTATTTTTCGACATTGTTTCTGGAACATGATGAAAAAGCACACATGGATATTTTAATCAAAAATGTTCACGTAAACAAATATATATATATATAATTATCTACTAAAGAATGTATGTCAGCACACAGCAGAACATACATGGAGACATTGAATTCATGTACGAAATAGTAGACATTCGTGATATTACATGTACAAGTATAGATCGTGACTACGGATAACAATTGATTGGCCTGTCTAGTGTTCCCATAATAACATTCTTATAATGGGTTCTCAACGATAACCATAAAGAGGTATTAAAACCTTGCGCCATGGAAACTCTTTATTCCTTTTCATTGGTAACTAAATGATAAGTAATAGTCTTACCTTTGCAAATAAGTCTAACCTTGTGCATTTTGGATATGGCTGAACTCTTCGCTAGCCACCGGGCAAGCAACATTGCATCTCTCTGTTCCTTTAAGCACAATTTATGTAATCTGGAACCTTTTGAATGCTTCCACTGGAAGGCTATTCCAGATATTTGTATTGCCACTGAGCTGTCAGATGTGTATTACCTTACATTTATCCTTTCACATGGCAAGTGATGCTGTAGAACCTTTTGGAAGTAACCCGGATGGTTGTATTTCAAACTGGGTGTATAAGCATTTATCAACTTTTGTGCCATCAAAATATAAAAGTACAACATAGAACATTGTTATTTTTCAAAGTCAGTCTGTCATATTTGCAATTTTTGCCTCATTAAATTTGTCTTCATGAACAGACATACTTTGTTCTTGCATCTTTCAATTCTAGCTTTGTTAAGGTTATGGCTTAAAGGGACACCCCTGTTTTGTAGATATCCCCCAAATGTAAACATGCATGCAATTACGCATTTTCTCAATGGGGGATAATGTATATCTAAACACAACTTGAAAAGGAATTTCTCTGCAGGTCTCTTGTCTGCTGCCTTTGCAAACCCTCCCCTTTTAACCCTGGACAGACTTTCTGTGGCTGTCCAATCACAGACTTCCCAATGCAGCTCAATGAGAGACCTTTGCAAAGCAGGTGCTCTGTGCAATTGCTGCCCTTTGAGTTTAGCTCCACTGTGGTGACCAACTAGGAAGTATCAGGAGTGGTTGTCTGATTGACAGCTAGGGGGGTGTAATCAGGTTAATTTTTAAAAGTGCCATTTCCACTGAAATCTGCACTTTTAGTAAAATTAAAAAAGGGCACTCTACACACATAAAGCACTTCAGCAAACCAGAGTCCTTTAGGTGTTTGAAGTTTACCTTTAAGCACTGTTCTGCCTCTGCTGAGCTCTTCCTTGCATCTATTATTCGATCATGACATTGAATCTTAAGTGGTTAGCTATATCCAAATTATGATCCTGAATATCCTTTTTTCATTTGCGTAAAGAAAGCATAAAATGAAGAGGTGAAATGAAAAAATGCTTCTATAATGTTTTCCCTGGCTTTGCCTTGTGTGAACTCTGTTATGTTGCAGTTTTCTAAATATAAAAGAAATGTTCTACTCAATGGTATAAATTCCAGATACATGACAGCACCCCTTTAAATTTCAACCTATACTTTTGATGTGCATCGTTCTGTTTAACTACTCTGGTTGAAATAATGTTACCAGCCAACACACAAATCTTTTTAAGATGTGAAGACTTACAAAATCACAATTCTAATATAAATTGGACAATCGCAATGAAAGGAAATGGCTTACTCATATAAAACTGAATTTTTTTTACATAAATCACATATTGTGAGCATTTTACCCAATCAGGGATATTACATTAAAACAATGAAAGCAACATTCACTGTCTGCTATACAACTATACTGCTTGCTATTTGAGTTTACAGGGGAACAAAAAAAAAATGAAAATAAATAAATAAAAAATATATAGTATATTTTTTTCGCATATTGTAAAATCACGAGTTAGTTCAATTATGTGTCAAGGTAAGATGCAAACGTGTGTATTGCATTTTCAGAACCTACAGAAGTAATGATATCTCATAGTGGGTTGACAAATCAACTGAACAGATTTAAATGGATTCTGTCAGTCATTTACCTGACCTTTCGTTCCCCTGAAACAATTTTATTACGGACGTCTGTAACACCCACCTCTGGTCCGCCTGCACGTTCCTCTTGCGGTAATCACTGATTTTCCCTGCTTACAGACGCTTCCCCAATCAGGGCATATGTCCTCCATGACCACGAGTAATGCCGTTCCAATGGGAAGTTCTTCTGCTCTCCCTGTCAAATTTTCAGCATAGAGTCTTTCGACAAAAAATTGATGGGTGGGACAAAAAAAATGTTTAATAGGTTTTTCTACCAAACTATACATTTGCTAGCATGATGTATAGATAAAATGTTCTTTCCAAAGAGCATGAGTGATAGGGTGTCAGGTCTCCTTTAACTCAATTCTCTGCCATTTAGGCGTTTGTTTATGCAGCCTTAGGCACACCTTCCATGACTGTGACTCACACAGCCTCCCTAAACACTTTCTTAAAAAGAGGTATAATTCTTAAACTTCCCTTATTGCGCGGTCGTTTTAATTTAGAGATTTTAATCTCCTGCTCTGCTAATTTGTCATTAGGACTCATAGCAACCTCCTGTGTTTGGATTAACAGAGCAGGTAGTAAGATATTCTAAAGAAAACACACTGTGCTGATTGTTGTATTTTTTATGGAGTCTGTGAGAGTCACGGGAGCCAGGGGAGGTGTGGCTAGAACTGCTTAAACAAAGTGATTTAACTCCTAAATTAAAGAGAATTAAACAGTGACACTGCAGGTAAATTATATATATATATCATGCTTCATTAAACTAAAGTTGTTTTGGTACTTATAGTGGTCTTTTAATAACTGAGCTGCAACTAACAGAAACCTAAGAAAATACATGATGTGCAGCTATCTTAATAGAGGGTAAGAGAAACACTGCAGGTTGGTGGAGGCCTGAAAGAGTGGGGTTAAGGATAGAAAATTTATCATTATATAGTACATTCACTCCTCTCTCTCTGGGACCTGTTATGGATTAATAGCAGGTTGATGTCTTCATAAATATATTAAACGCACAGTTTCTCAATATGATGTACTTCTTAATTTCCGAAATTAATTTTGTCTGGAGAGACGTATTAATATTACATTACATTTTTGACTGAAAAGTTGCATGAGGAAAATTATTGCTGAAATAATGTAAGGAAAAATATACGCAAAATAAAGTTTTTTATTTTGTGAGTTACTATTGTTTGGGGTATGAAAATTCTTTTAACATTCTACACTATGAATGTATTTTAATTTTCTTCTCTTACATGTGCTTCCTGATTGGTGTGTTTGAAAAAGGATAAAAATAAGTTACCGGTATTTTAAAAATACAGAAATATAAATAAATACTAGCAGCAGTCTCAGGAAAAAAAGAACCTCCAATTTATCAAATATTTAATAACAAAAATCAGGAGGACATGTAAGATAAAAAGGCGGTGGGAGGACAGATTGGAGAAACTCATAGGGTAAAATCGTTTGATCAAACTTTTATTGTGATAATAAAAAATAAAAAACTTTTAACAGGTTGGACACACATTTTGTTTCAACACTTTACCAGCATGTGACATTCCCATAGCGATCTTCCTGTACCCCTGCAGTTTTTGTCACCCCATTAATACAGGGATGTTTGTATAGAGTTCCTTCAAATGTGGAAGCGCATTTCGCTGTGCAATTGGATTTTACAAAGTTACTTATAATGTTCCAAAATATCCTTTGATTTTGAAGCCGTCTGATTGAGTAGACGGTCTTACAATGATTATTCACATTTATATCAATTCTCTCATTAACTATCTATAATAAATGGGCATTTGTTTGCCTAAATATTTCTTTGGTATATATACTTTATTACAGGACTAAGTACAAAGAATTTTTTGGGCAGATTTGTATACAGGTTGTCATGGCAACCCACACTCTTATCAATAGAATGAAATATATTACTTGGTGCTCTGTTATTGATAACAGTATCCCCCTATATAGGATGGCTTGTTGTAAATTATATAAATATAAAGGGAGCTTGTGCCTAGGCTGAACTGTGTTTCCATGGTAACGACTGACGCCACTCATGGAAATTCTGATAAAAATTGAATAAAACTATCCCACAAGAGGGGTCCGAGTCTAGTTAAAAGGATTCTTGAGAACCTAAAGAAGTTAAACGTAAGGCTATTGATGTAAATTTGAATATAAATGTTGTATTCTAAAAAAAAAAATGGGTTTTCATGGCAACCTGCAACTGAATGCATCAAAATGTATATATATATATATAAAAAAAAAATACTACCAAAAACAAAGGACACATCAAGTGCATAATTCATTCTAAAAGACTCTGTTTCTATGGAAATGGTTTATACTATGAAATTCTCATATAAAGACTTGGGAACAATATACAAAGACCTTAATCAATCTCATAACGAAACAATGTTGAAATGTATACATATCTTTATAGAAAGATGAATGGCAAGTATATGTACTGATTGTCATGCTGAACTGTATATCTAGAACCAGAATATTATTAACTCTACTATATTCTTTACTACCAAAATACCACTACTATGTGTGTGTGTGTAAATTGTTAGACGACATTGTCTTGTTTCTTTACCACATACGCATTTTCATTGGTATTATAGTGATTTTTTATTATTCCAGGATTATGACCTGGTACAAGTTCTTTATAGGAAGCGCGGTCCAATTTGAGCTTTTGTTTTCATTCTGTAGATGTGTCAGGAAGAAACGGAAGAGACGTCAAAAGAGGAATGTCATTTTGTTTTGTTTTTGTTTTTTTGTAAGTTGTGTTTGTCTAATGTCTATCTTTTTTTTTATTAGTATACCCTGCTTCCAGTGGAATAAAAAAGAGAGGTTGTAAATTGGTGAACATTGCTGATCTGTGGTCTTTGAACGGCATTAATCTTCTTGGGATGTTCACCATCCTAGGCTAGATGACTGAGGTGCAGAATTCCATAGCTGGTCTATACTGGGTTGTTATACCAGTAGAGTTGCCTTCACTCACCCTTACTGCAGGGTTGATAGTAGCTGCAGTACAGGATCCAGAGATTCTCTTTTGCTACTATTCTAAGAAGACCAGAGAACCGCCACAGAAAAATAATGATGGAACTTGGACCACCCTGTGTATTATTTACCTGGCAATCTGCAGTAAGATCGATTCACCAGGCAATAAAAAGTCAAAGTGCTAATCTGCTTTCTGTGGGATATATATATATATTCATAGACCTTGGAATCCCACACATAATATTTGATTGATCCACGTCTATGTTGAAACATGAGTTCCATTCAATAACATAAACCGGTGAACATACACAAGCCCACATGCACAAACAAAAAGAGGGGGATGTCAAAACATTTTCTTTTTTCAATTCAAGTGGAAGACCCCCAAGGAGAAATGCTGGCGGCATGTAGAGACACTCTGATTAGCCACAATTATGATAATTTACTGACTGCTCCACTGTGAGCATCTCAGGACTTACAGTTAAAAGATGATGACTCACAATAATGTTTTGATGCCAAATTATGTTATGAAACATCTAAAATGTGAATTGTTGTTTTAAGCTGGTTTTTAACTGTCCCCTTGCTAGATAATGCACCGTAGAACAGACATTAAGACGGCTAGCCTCTGAACCCCAAATGTTTGTATTTCGAAAAGATTGCCAGAGCCCTATGGGACATGAAATTCACAGGCACATTGGGTGTTT